CATTTTGTAGTATATATATATAGTGTGTGTGTGTGTAATCAGCAACTAAGATGTTATATTGCAACAAGGAGAACATTGGTCAGACATTACAAGGGAACAATGCTTTATCTCCAATGTTCATAATTGTGGATGGTCGTTGAATGGACAATTTGTGTAGTATTCTATCACAATACATAACATACTTCTCCAGTGATACTATTCTTACTTTAGAAAAAAGGGGATATTAATAGAAGCTAGGAAACTTACCTTGTGCCATGGCCACCAGAAACCACCCCTGGCATTGGACCAAATTCAGGCCTGAAAAACATCATGAGTTAGGAAAGGATACACAATCTGCTTACAAGCCAAAAAGAATATGCTAAACTTTGGCCATGACTACACCCAACTAAAAGTCATTGTGTTTCATCCAATGGACTGCCAAAAACCATTATCATTGAAGCCATCATCAACATCTAATGAAAATGCAGGATGTGGGAGAGAGGCAGAGAGCTACACCCACTTAGACAAGACATTATCGCAAGAGTCAGTCTTTCTTTCTCTCCATCATCATCCATCATTTGGGTGGCTGGTGATTTCAAGGGTCCATTGGATCGTAATACATATTCACCAAAAGACAAATCCAGCATTGGGGACAACATTAGCATTACTTAAAACCCAGCGCCATGAGCACACGATTAACAAACCAGATCTCTAGACTTGGCTTAGATGTGAAACATTGAAAAAGGGAAAGGCAAAAAACTTTAACACCAAAAAATAAAAAATAAAAAAAATCAAACATGATATGAGTGGAAAGTTCACTATACAAAATAAAAAAACTTATTTAAAGTGACAAATCACATATAAATCAAAGTCCTGAAGTACAATACAGAACTCCAAAGGTCTTCTCCTTACAATAGAAGAGAGTTCTGGGGTTCAGGAAGATAGAACAACGCACTTCAGATATTGCAAAGACTGAGTAGAGGCCATCAAGAAAGCATTTCCCTTTATGGAGAAAATATCTCACTTGTATGATTGATATTTTAGATATATCATACCAACTATTGTATTTACATTTCATAAGTTTAGATATAATCATATCCTATGAACAAATTCATATTTTATTTGTATTTACATCATTTCAAAATTTTCTCTGGTAATCAGCACGGGTATGCACCATGTGGATATTGACAGATTAAGGGCATGTTTGGATATACTCGTTACCACTGATAATCCACTGTTTTAATAAAAATTAATCTAGGTAATGAATTATCAGCTATTTGCCACTGTCCATTATAAAGTTATCTGAGATAAACTCCAAGGAACTTTTACATATAAGTTTACCCTTTTGAAAAGCTTTTTTTATTTTTATTCATAGTAATTTATTGAAAAAACATTTTTTTAGTCAGAAATAGCTAAACATAGATGAAATTGGCAAAAAAAGTTAAATAATTTTATAATATTATATACAATACAAGATGTATAGCAAGCATCTAACCAAATGATATTATTTATCCAAATAAGATACTCTACTCCAGATAAAATTATTTGTCACCCAGATGGCTAAGCATATACAAGTGTCTATGTGTCTTCAGTGGACATTGCTAAGACCTCAAATTTTATAGGTGTTTAGGATTTTGAAGTGTGACTGTGTGCACGTGTGTATATTTTGAAGCAACAGACATGGATATGGCACCCTTCTCAATTATCCATGCATCATAAGAACTAGCAGCCATAAATGGACATTTTTGCCGAGTGCTTAAGTGACATAAACATGTAGTAGATCAAACTGGTCCATCTACGTATGCATGACGTATGCATGACAGTGCCCAGGAAAGCACTGGCTACAACAGAAAGGAAGGGTCCATGTGACTGCTGAGCCCGCCCACTGAGCAGCAGTTTTGTCATCCACTACAAAAAAAAACAAAGAATCCACTAAAGATAAGCACGCCTCTGATAGGCAGCGTGTGCCGAGAGTGGACCTTTTGGATATATAATCCGAGTAGAGTGTGGAGTTATGGGAACAGCCGCCTGATGGAAAACAACTTCCACGTTCGGTTCAGAGAGCACTTTTTTCATTTCATTGATAACTCCTTGTTCCCTTTTGTGTTCATTCCCCAGAGGTGAATTAACAACTTGTGGGGCCCGATCTATTCCATGTCCCGAGACCTGAAGAAACCCCCCTCCCCTTCGGATTCCATATCACTTTTGACTCTATATATGCAGGCACCTGATATCTATGAGGGTTTACCCACCCTGGTTACAGCATTCCTTTCTATTGTGCGAAAAAATCTATATTTCTGCAAATATGTCCTATGTTTCTATTTATGGTTCTTATGGAGCTACATTGCAACAAATCTTCTTTTTCTGCAGCATGGCTTTTATGATCTTAGGAGCACTGGCCGCCAGGGCCCAAACGAAAGTCAAAAGACCTCTAGCTCATAGTTTGATTGGACATGTAGGTTATATTCAGACCGGTTTCTCACGTGGAACCATAGAATGAATTCAATCACTTACAAGTTTGGTTTGCTCAACTCACAAAAACATTCTATAGCTACACTAAATGCTGAAGCAGAGCGTGTAGCCAACAACTGATAATCATGATAATCAACCCACAATTCTAGTACATATCTGGACCATCTACTCGAAGCATAGCGGGTGGGGACAAGTGGAAGTCTCGATCTGCATGTTGAACCAGAATTCAACATGGTACTATAAGTAGTAACACAAAGGGCATGCCTTCCAAACCTCAACAACTTTTTTATTATTTTAAGGTATGTTTTCATTTTATTTTCCAAGGGATGCCTTCAACATCTTCATGCCACACATAGCTCCTTCAACGTCTCCTTTTTTGCACAAGACCTCCGGCTCAGCTCGCCTCCATAGCTCCTCACATGCTTTCTTTAGCCCCCCCCCCACCCATTTTTTGGATTTTTTGTAAGCTTCATGTAAACTTTACTTAGGGCGGTCTTATAAGCCCTTTTTGTACATGATACTTTCCAGCTCACCCCCTTGGGGGTGAACTTCGCCCCCTCTCTCTTGTACACTTCTCTCTCAGTAATACAATGTTAACTTTCAAAAAAAAAAAAACATCTTCATGCCATACTAATCAATATGTAAGAACGTAAAAGTAAGGAATTATCGCCATCTTCAAGAGAATGATGCACCAACATAAAATAAGCAGCTCAAGCAAGAATTCAGGGCAAGAAAACAGTTCCTAGCAGTTTCAAATAGTAGATCTAATTCTTCAATATTCTGGAAATATTTAAAAGCCTAAATGCAATAAATATGAAAGACAAGGACATCAACTGCCATCAGAAGTCAACAAATACACTGATAATAGCAATGAATTACCACCACGACAAGATGCTAAAAGTGAATCAAACTTCAGGTCTCAATTATTGATTTCCATTTCTTTTTATTTTTTGAAAGGCAGTTATTGATTTCTATTTCCAAACTAGAATTTAAAAGCACAAGAATTTTTTAAATAGGAAATAGATTGTGTAAAGAACAGTCATATATCAATGGCAAAGATGAATAAGTGGATTTATAAATAAAAACAGGGATAAGGAAGAAAAAAGAGACATACGTCATAACAACAGTCCTCCTTCCCCTTCCAGCTCCTCCAGTGACATTCACACGAGCTGAAACAGGCATGCCCAAATTGGTCCCTATGAGTTCTATTTTCATGGGCTTCCCATCTAATTGAACATTATTATATCGCTTGACAGCTGCTAAAGCATTGCTTCTCTTGGTGAAGACTACCTCTGCCGAGCCCTATGAAACAGAAGTGAATAACCATGTAATATGGATAAGGAGGCATAGTCATTACATTCTTCACCATTAAAAGTAAGAAAAGCAAAAACAAGACGAAACACACAAATGAACAGAAACATCAAAATTTATTCAAAAAACATGATTTGCTACCAAAAAACAAACTCCATAAAGTAACAAGTATGAGTGTCAAATTCACAAAAGAAACATGACGGGAGATAATTTATTAAAAAAAAAAAAAACACCTGCTAGATATCTATGTTTTTGTGGATGATTAGCTGAAAAAGTGTAGATGATAGTCAACGAGAAATGCCGGAAAAAACATCACACTGCCAGATTGAATTGAAATGTATATCTCAAGATGTTTGTCAATACTTAAACAGTAGAAAAGGCTAATCCTTGTCAAATCCAGTGTTTCAAAACCGCGGACCGCCAACGCCTAGGCGGTTCAGGGAGCCTAGGCGCCAAAAATCGGCGGAAAACCCTTGACGAGGGGCCGCCCAGCACCTAAACCTGGGCAGCCGCCTAGAGGCGTAAAACAGTTTCGGTCGGTAAGGGTAATTTTTGTGCTTTTTTTTATACTAAAGAGCCAAATTTCTTGTTTTTCGGTTTATTTGTAATCTAAAACATATTAGAGACCATTTTAGAGAGAGAAAAACCCCAAAAAACCCATTTTTTGTGATTTCTTTAGGATTGAAGGATTTCCCAAAATTATGAGAAATTGATCAAAACATCATCCATTGATATTAGATTTAATTTGTGATGTTTTATAAATCTATTGGAGGGTTTTTTAGAAGTTTTTGAGTCTTTAGAAGCATCTTTAAGGTTAAAGTTTAGACAAAGTAAGTGATTTAATAAGTTGTATTATTTTGAGGTGGATTTGTAGTTCCACTGGTTTGGTAATTGGTAACTTTGGTTGGTAAATTTTGAGTTTTAATTGGATATGGACCGACTTATGGAATGTGTGCTAATGTGTAGTATATTTTGAATGCTGATGTGCCCTAAATACCTAATTCTTATATTTTATATAATATATATACTGTTAGAGACTAAAGAATCCATTTTGGACTCAATTGGGCCGCTCAGATTCTGGGCGCCCGCCTAGGCACTGGGATGGCTTGGACCCCCCAAGCCGCCTAGGACCCGCCTAGCGCTTTTTGAAACACTGGGCAAATCTATCGAAAGGCTTAACCCCCCCACCCCAACACACAAAAAAATACAAATAATAGGCTAATCCAATTATTTTTTTGGCAATCAACTAATAAAAATCCAATTACTTGACCTTAAAAAGACAGGATGCATGCTCCTTCACCTTTAAGTTATCATATAAGTCTTGCATCACATTTTATTCTTCATTGGTATTCTCAATACATTTGATTAATAAAACAATGCCCATCGGCATCATGAATACAGGCATAATACAAACTTCTTTGATATTTTTTGTCCACTTGCGGCATCACAATCCAATCATGCGTGATATTCCAAAAACCGCTGAGCAACGCCTAGGCATTCTGGCCACACAACGCCTGGGAGGTCACTCGGGGACCGGGGGGGGGCAGATTCAACAAGAGGAAGGAGTTGTCCCAAGAATCCTGTTTTAGGTCCAAAATTTGTATAGAAAATTGTATATTCAGGCAGTTTTAATACATTGTTGTGTGGGATCATGCCAAATCCAAACCAAAGTACTATGGTATTACCAAAAAATACACAATTCATAGACTCACTACCATACACATACAGTACAAATATTAAGTATATGACAATAAGTCATTAACATATCATAAAATATCTAAATCCCATAATCCAAAGTTCCAAACCAAAGTACTATACTTCTAGCAAAACCAAAAAAAATACGAAGTGATAGACTACTACCACCTAATCCACTTCAGCGCCTCATCCTTACTCTCATCATCACCAAATACATGAATCCCAGCTCTTAAATCTGGTGAGAAAGCCTCCTTTTCTTCCTTTTTTGGTTTTACCGCGTTCGAAAATTGTTTAATCTCCCCCTAGTAGCTTCAGAGACTTTCTTACGGGGGGGAACATCCCCCTAATATCAAGGTGTTTCTTGAACCGCTTTATACCCCATTAGTATCTTCTTTACAATAATTATATCTTATACAATTTTTGTCCTTCGGATTTGGGTTATAGTCATACTTCCAATCCAAATCATCAATTCTAGAAGAACCCAAAGAAGACATTGAAAAAAAAAAATACAAAGATTTTATGCTTGATCTTTCAATCTTCAATGTTTGAGATATTTCCCAATCTCAAAAGCTCACAAATAACCCTCAAATAAGCTTTCTACATGGGTAATATTGAATCAATCCAAAACAAAAGAATGATGTTTGAATTAATTTTCAGAAACTTCGTATTTGAAGTTCAAACCAACTAAATTAGAAATTTAATGAATTTTCAGTCTTTTATTTTTTTGGGTCTCGTAGGGTTGAAATGGCACTATGGGTTTAGAACCCCTTTCTCCCTAAAATGACAGAAATTACCCCCAGCAAAGGGGTATTTCTACACCTAAGTGGGCACAATCCCTAAGCGTCTGCCTAGAGCAAGATGGGCACCAAAGGACAACCAGCCTAGGTATGGGCGATGTGCCTAGGGGCCTCTTTTTAAACCATTGGCATTATGGCATGTTATTGGACTCATTTATTTTATTTATTTATTAATGTTTACTCTTTTGAGGGAGAACATGGGACGTTTTTAAGGATGCAGCTAGGGTTTATTTCATTTATTATTTTGTAGTTTTTTGGGAGAGACAAACTGGGTTACTCAATCATTAAATTTGTTTTAGTTATTTCACAGTATTTGTCAGTGGAGAACTCAGGGGAAGTTCAGTCCTTTGAATATTTTATTTTAATTAGCAGATAAGGTCATTTTTGTTTAAGTCAAGTTATATTAAGTTCATTTTTTATTAAGGTTATTTTTTAGAACTTTGAGAAAGAATCAAAAGACCCAGAAAGGGTTTCTTCAAGTTTTCTTAAAAGAAAAGGGGAATATTTTATTTTAATTAGGGGATAAGGTCATTTTTGTTTAAGTCAAGTTATATTAAGGTCATTTTTTATTAAGGTTATTTTTTAGAACTTTGAGAAAGAATCAAAAGCCCCAGAAAGGGTTTCTTCAAGTTTTCTAAAAAGAAAAAGGGATTCTTAAATTCTTTGATTCAAAATCTTAAAAAAAAAGCTTTGTAGCACCTCCCAAGGTCCCTTCCTTCCAAGGTATCCTTCAATTTTTTCCTTCTTAACTCCCCTCTACTCTGCTCTTCTCCTTGCTTCGCTTTTGTTTCCCTAAATTGTTTGGTCATCTTTTACATTTTACCTTCTTCCCTTTTCCTTAATAGGTTGTATGGATCCTACGGTATGCAAACTCATGTTTTGCATACACGAGATTCGTGACAGAAATAGTGCTTGGTGCGATGTTTTGCCCGGAAATCACGTTACATATATACCAATTTGGGGCCAAAACGAGGGTTTCTTAAATTAAAAAAACATAACCGACATTTCCATACCTAGATTTTGGGTAACCTGTATTTTAAATTGCAAATTACTTTTTTTATCCCTTTTAGATGAATAAGAATGATTTGATTTCTCAGTAATCAACTCTCTTTTGATTTCACATGTTCATATCCTAGTTGGACACTTAAATAGTGACAATAGAATTTGCTGCATATTTGTTAATAAAGTCACTTTAAAAAAGAAATAACATACTAATAAAGTCTTCCATTGATAAAATTTCCTTAAAAGAAGAAATTAAAATAATGTGTAGAAGGGATTCCTTACAAAAGACTAACATTATACAAACCAAATATATGTGAGAAAGAGGCGAGGTTATTTGGACTACGGTGGGAACAACATTGCATACAAATCAATGGAGTAGTATTTGAGAATTTTCCATCATCTTCGTGCTCTTCAATGGCAACATAGTTAGCTTGCCTCTTGAGTGGTTCATAGCTTCATGTTCATTTTTCAAGTCATTCATAGCTTCGGGTTTGTTGAAGCTATAGTTTTTGAGTAATTCAGAATTCCAATGGCTCTCAATATGACATAAAAAGTAAAAGGACCATGCTCATTTGACCTCAATATTGTGTCCATTCCTAATAGGCTACTTAATTTAGTACAAGACACCTATTTTCCAATTTTCTTGCATAGAACTAAATCAACCTTAGGAGAAATCAATTGCGAACATACAGACTTCTGATCTTGTCTTGGTTTTCACCACAGATCTCTAGGATACATTCCAAACATGCCTCTCAACACACACAGAAAGCCAAACTCAAGAAGAAAAGAGCCGGTCTGTAGTGTGGCTGCATATACCACAGCCATTGCAACAGTCAATATTTTAAGAAATGGACAGCCTAGTGCCTAGGCAGCCGTCTAAGCGGTCCAGAAGGCTTGGGCGCCTCGCCCAGGCCTAGCCGGCCAAATTAGGGGGTTGTCCTTGGGCGGCCGCCCAAAGGCGGAAATGCCCCTCCTTGAGGGCATTTTTTTATTTTTTTATAATACTAAAGGGGCAAAATCGTGGGTTTTAGGTTCATTTGAAACCTAAACCCCATTAGAGCCTATTTTAGAGAGAGAAAGCCCCTAAAAAAAACTAGTTCTTGGTGATTTCCATAGGAGATTTCTCAACGTTACAAGAAATTGATTGAAGATTTAGTGTTTGGTCCGAAAAGATTATTGTCTTAGTATTCATAGGCATTTGTCCCAATTGAATCGGGGGAGCTCCACTCATTGATATTAGATTTAGTGGATTTATGGAGTATGGACGAGTGTGTGCCATGTGGACTTGTGTACTACACATTTGATGTGCCCTAAATCCCTAACTATTATGTGTTATACAGTTGTACTTATATTGTTAGACTATAGAGACATTTTTCTTTCTACTGGGCTGCACTGGGCGTCCCCCGGTGGCCTAGCGTTTGTTGAAATACTGGCAGCAATGCCGATTTTATGTCAAGAGACCAACTCATGTTGGTCTAATGTTTCATGAATTGATAATCAACTCCAGTGGTGTCCATTTTCTTAATCAAATATGCAAGAGTCAAGGGGCCTTCTTCCTGATGAGAGACATTAAGCAAGAAAGGGAGCATACGTGGTATAACTGGGGTAACATTGGAAAAACAACAGGTTACGTTCCTACATATTATTAGTCACAACCTGAAAAATCGGAAAGTAGGTCACAATTTTGTTTATTTAGGTGAGACAATAAGTCAACACTTCAACATAGTGTTGAATGTAGGATAGTTACTAGGATCTTCCAAAGAGGTGGTTGCTCCTACTCCAGATGCTCGCCCATGTGCTATGAGACAAGGGATCTCGATTCCAAAGGTTACTTTGATTTAGGGATCTCGTTCTACAAAATTGAGGATCTAAATCCCAGGTTAATGGGAACCAGTTCCCTATTTTCAAATCATGGTTCCGTGAGTAACTGAAACGGAGATTCCACCAACTTGGAATCAAGTATCTTCTATTCTGGGAGTGAGGTTCACCAGCACACTTTCAATTTCCACATATAACGTAGCAAGGATCACCAGCATATTTGAGTTGTTGTGTTAATGGCCTTCCTTTTTTTGGGTCTAAACTATGTGTAAATGGCCTTCCTTTTTTTGGGTCTAAACTATGTGATATAGACAATTTGACACAAATTCCCTGCTTGGGAGTCTCTTAATTTTTTTATGATCTACAAATTTTCTGAAGGCTTTGATTTCTTGTATATTTACAATTTACAACCTTACGCATCTTGTGTATCATAACTTATGACTAGTTTCAAACAAAGGTGACAAGGGAGGGAAAGGAGAGAGAAGGAAGAAGATGGAAGATGATAGAAAAGATAGTTGAATTATGGTACTATAAGCAAGGAAAGAGGTCGTGATTGATACGCTTAACTTCCTTGACGCTAATTCATTAGGTACCATCCACCTCTGAAAGGACTTCTATCACTTGAGTGGTGGTCCCCCAAGCGAGACACTAAGATACACAAGGTCACAATTTTTATGGTTGTTCGCTTATGGGTGATGGAATACTATTGTATGCTTCGAAATGTAAGGCCTATCTCATGTAAACATCCTTAAGCCCCTGGCAATCTTTGATGAAGAACAGTTATTAAAAATTATATATGGTAACATCTTTTTCTGTCTCTTGAAAGCTGATCTACCACAGCATTCTCTTCATGAAAACAATCTATTGCACCATTCTTAAATATAATCATCAAGCGATAGTCAAGGGGGATTCGGTCAATCCCATCAATTGATGCCAAAAATGAGGTCACATGCCTACCTAGGCAAACCAATGCATGTGGGATATGCAATTTTTGTAACGGACCCACATTAGTAATTTTTTGGAGCGAAGCTTGCTTAAATAATTGTTTTTACCAGGGGGCATATGACAAACAATCACTCGTTACAACTCGTGTTAACAAACTTCTGTTAACAACTCAAAGAAGGAATAAAAAGAAAAAGAAGTGTGTTATAAAATCTGACAATGGTTCAAGAAATTCAGTCCTAAACTAGAGTACCGCAGTTAAGTGAACTTCATGAGCCTCAATCCTAAGCTTGATAGACCGTGATCTTATATGGCTTAGTATTCGCTCTTGGGAAAATTTAGATTGCACTCACTTGGAGTTGAGGAACTCAATCCCTTTACCTCATGATGTAAGTATCTTGTTCCCTTGTTTATGGATCTTCGAGCCATGCTTGATCCAGCGGTCTTGCTTTTTGATTCGGGAGCTACCCTTACTCCCAGCCCCGATAACTATTATCCTTAACACACATGTAAATACAACCTGTCACTAATTTTCCAGAGGGCTTTAAATCATAATTTGAACCTCAAAACGTCTAAGTTACCAAAACCCATAGAAATAAAGGTTGTGGATCTCAAAGATATCTTCAAGTTAAGCCTTAGATCACGCCAAACCTACATCTCCGTTAAAATTTATGCCATGAGAAAGTGGTCCGCATCAAGATGGCATGATGAAAATGAATTTTGAAAGGGCATTCACGCAGGAGCCCAAGTTTGGTTAGATTAGGAGATACTGTGAGAGATACATTCATCTTAGATGCAAGAGGTTCATCATACAAGGGAATTCATCAAATGCCATCCAGTCGAGCAGTAGGAAGATGAGTTGTCCATGACAATTGAACATTTTGTTTGTGGAAATTTGGCTACGGCTTAAGGTAAGACAAACCATCTTTAATCACTCTTGGAGTGACTAGAACAAGGAAGCTGATCCATTAGGTACGAAAGGGATTGGTAAGAAAGAGTTGGTATTCACATAATTTACAAACTAAAGAGGCCAAATTAGAGTTTGATTTACAAAGGCCAATTTGTAAAGAAAGAGAATTGTTCTTTGAAAAAATAATGTATCATTAATGAAACATAATTACAATATAGAAAATGACTAAAACACCAAGTAAGGCGTGAAATTAAACAAAATACCAAATTTGAAGTTTACAGGCCCAATTCATCAAGCAAGCATGAGCAGGAGCATCTAAAATAGAAAATAGATAGTTTTTTTTTTTTAAACTATAACAAATAGATAGTGATTTTTACATAAAAATGGCACAAATATTATTCCAAGGATCACCATATTTGGAAAAAGAATGGCCCCTCTAAAGAAGAATGTAGCTTCCAAGACTCAAAAGTGATCCAAACAGCTAGTTCATCTTTATATGTCTAACTCTCATGGCTACTTGCTGCTCCATGGAAGTAAGAACTATAGCAAATTATAAATCTCCAAATTCCAAATCCCCAGTTTAAATCAATCTTTCTCTGCATTTTCCAAATGAAAGAAACCACAACACCTAAGATTCCATATTGTTTCATTTCTCATCCGTAACACAACCAAAAACCTAGTGCCAACTGATGCTAGCAAAGCTAGCTACAAAATAACTAAACCAACTAAGCAGCTGAAGCACACGTAAAGAGATACTGAAAGATTTTGAACTGTCAGATATCTACTATGACCATGTGTAAACATTGAGAAGAATATTGAGGCTATCAATTGTTCAATGTAATGAAACTGTATCAAGCTAAACAAAATCAAAATCAAAACATGCATGGAGGAATACATGCATGGAGGAATACATACACTGGATCGACCACTTCTATCATAATGCACTGCACACCTCTTGATGGGCCCAATTTCTGAAAAGAGTTCCTAATTCACAAGCAATAGCAAGTTAGGTGCAAAATGTCACATAAAACAGAACTACACATACGAAATAGAAACTGTGTATGTAGCTAAACGTGCATATGTGACTCTTTTTTTTTCTATCATTACAATATGGATATGGATTCATCATTCATACCCTTATATCTTCATTTGAGACCCCATAGTCCAGGTTTGAAATATATAATTTTGTACCAGACTCAATCCCAGTAAGCCCGGCAGCAATCATGCTATCCTCAAACATGTCATGTTGCCATATCATATCCTTTGTTCTGCTGAAAGACTGGTGCGAGATGGGGAAAAATTGTGAACAATAAGGTCAGCATAAGCAACAACTCCATGCTCTACTGAATCATAGATCATCAGCGAAATCCAGAAAGCGAAAGCATTTCATCAGTTTCTAACAGAGAGAGTAGAAGCCACTACAATTCCAGGATCTCGCAAGTATGGTAGAAACAAACTGTAAACGAAATGAAGAATTGAATGAATATTAAAAGAAACAGTGGGTTAAAGGGTTTTCATGGACGAGAGAGATATAGATGTATACTGATGATTGCGGTATATGTGAGGGAAGCTCCTCATTGTCGCGAAACCCCATATAATCCCTTAGTCAAGGGACATGCAATTAGCCATACGCGCCAACAAGGAAACGCCTATAATGATATCTTGGAACTTCCCCCATTTTTGAAATCCCCCATTTTCACAAAATGGAGGGATGCAAATAATCTGATATACTCCCACAATATCTCTAAGAAAAGCCATGTAAACCATCAACCAATGTGCTCAGTTAGGTACCACATTCACCGATGCATGAATTGTCAAACTGTCAAAGCATAGCTGAGCTTTTCCTTCTAGGGTTCTAAAGTAAACCTACGAATAATCATCTTAGCTTTCCATAATAGATAGAGAGGAAGGGGTTTGCTATTTTAGCTTGCCTTTGCGATTGAATATGAAGAAGGTCGAGGATTCAACCTAAGAGGTCCTCTTCCTCGACCCCTTACTCCACCTCCTCTGGTTTGACCTCGGCCTCGACCTCGGCCTGGAACTCGGCCTCTCACAACATTGCTGCTTCTTCTGTTGTTCTTTATAATATCATCAAGCGACATGTCTAGAGAACTCGCCATTCTTCGATCAAACCCTATAATCCCTGTTAGAAAACAAAACTCACCGTTCAAAACCCTAAAATTCCCGCATTGAAGCTTTCTTCCACCTTCCTTCTGGTTAAAACCCCTCTTTTAAGAAATGAGACAGAGAGGGATGAGGACCTGAGTTTTAGGGTTTAATGCAAGTGCTGCTTCGCTGGATCGCAAGCTTTTCGCTTCTTAATGGCGATAGGAAATGCGGCAAGGCAAGCAAGATAAGGGAGCAACACGATCAAAACCGTGAATGATTCGTTTTAGGGTTTCAAGGCGCAAAGAAGAGATAGGAATGATGCAGCGAAGGGAGGAAGCGAAGTGATTTCACAGAGAAAAGGCAATGGCGATACAAGATGAAACTGGTTCAAGGGTTTCATGGAATAGGGACGTTGCGACTTAATCCGATCATCCGATGAAGTTGAGAAGGGCCTGGTTACATGGCATAATGACTTCGCTATTTAATCCGATGAAGCTGAAAGGGCTTTCGGGTGATTTATTTGTTAAGAGAGATAAATCACGGCACAAGATGATATCCTATACACACCCCCAATTTTGGACGGTCAGATTTATATGTTCAAATGCTCGACCCTAAAATTTTGGTACTGACAGAGGTCCATTCATCAAAAGTCATTATCGTTTCTTTAATAAGAACATCTTTTACAGGGAACTTAATCTTTAAGCAATCATATATTTGAAATATTCAAAAAAATACAATAGTATTCTATAGAAAAAAGCGATGGTTTAAAAAACGGATCGGTGA